TTGCCAGACTCTTGCAGTGCTTTCGAGCCCTCCTCTTTGTGTTCTGGGCAGAAGATAGTGGGTGAGCCCCTGGTAACCCTAAAACACAGGCAAATCCCTGATCCCGTGGGAAGCAGACCAGTTTGTAGCCTGTAAAGAAAAAGGGAAATTTCTTCAGCCTGTTTGTGGTCCATTGTAGTGTCCCTCCCCTGAGAAAGCTGGTGCAGAACTTGTGGTCCTTCACTTGGTGTTGTCATTGGGACAAAGTGGGACAAGATGTGTTTGAAAGTTTCTTCCTGCCCTGCTGTGTGCTGCCCGTTGGCTGGTGGAGCAGCAGAGCAGAAATTCACTGTTGGCATCTGGCAAAGCAGCAGGAGAGAGCAGTTGTGAGGGGAAGGGGGGTGAGGTGTCTGCTCTTCAAGAGGGACAAGACAAAGGAGTTGGGGAATTGTCCTGGAACTCTGGCCTGGCAGGCTTGGAGCGCTGGGTGGGCATTTCTTGAGAGCTGTGGTGGCCCCACTTCCTCCTGAGCCTCATTTGATGGCAGTGTGTCCAGAGGCAGCCCGGCTCCAGGCTGAAGCAAAAAGCCAGAGCGGGTGATGCGGGAGCTGCTCCAGCGCCTACCGCAGCCTGCGGCCCGGTGGGAGCGTCCCGGGCCCTGCCCCGGGGCGCCCTGAGGCGGGGCAGTGCCCACTCCCGCCGGCCGCCCTCACAAGGCCCAGGCCGCCTCCTTCCCACAAGGCCCAGCAGGGCCGCCCTCACACCTGCCCCGCCCTGCCCTGCCCCGCCCGGCCCCACCCTGCCCCGTGGCCTCTGTCACACCCCACGCTGACGTGCTGAGCCTTCCACCAGCCATTGTGACGCCACAGGCGCCAGTCGGGCACGGCTTTGTTGGTGCCCGCAGCCGGCGCTCAGAGCTGCTGGAGCCTCTCGGGGAGCAGCAGCACATCCCGCTCGGGGAGCATTGCGCGCCTGCATCGCCGTCTTGGCAGCTGCAGGCCATGACCACTGCGCAGGGCGACCTCATCTGCCTTGTGCTTCATACCCTGTGCCCGTCCTTATTCTCGCCCCTTTGTCACCCTCCCCCTAAACCTCGCCCCGTCCCATTCCTCATCCCCACTTGGCTCCCGGCAGCCCGCCGGGGCCTTCTTGCCCTTCCTGCTGCTGGGAGCTCCAAGCAGGGCCATGCCGTGGCTTCTGAGCAAGAAGCGACGGCAGTCGCCCTCCAGCAGCCCCAGTGGGCAGCCCTGGGCTGCCACCAGCTCCAGCAGCGCCTCCCAGCTCCGGGAGCAGGGGCTGGGCAGGCTGCACCGCGCGGCCGCCCGCGGTGACCTGGGCTGGCTGAGGCGCTGGCGCTGGTACGTCAAGGTAGTCGGCATCGACAGGCCAGACCAGGAGATGCGGTGAGTTCTGGGCCACGCTGATGGCACACCTTGGCTGCTCCTGAGCCAAGCTGCAGTAGTCCTCGGCAGCCCTCTCTTAGGGACAAGGCTTGAAAAGTGACATTTGCCCTGTCAGCTGGGACAGGGAACTCTTGAGCTTTTCACTGCTCGGAGCTGCCGGCCGGGCTCCAGCGCTGCTGCAAACGCGTGTTGCCCACCTGCCCCTTGGCCGTGCTCTCTCTGCAGGGCTGTTCTGCAGCTGCTCAGCCCTCACCTGTTCTCTTCTGCCCTCTGGCTCATCAGGGCAGGGTTGCAGCAGCAGCAGCAGCAGCAGCAGCAGCAGCAGCAGAGTCCGGGCAGGGTCCCCAGGGTGCTGGGTACAGACACAGCTTGGGCTCGTCCTTTGTCTGTCTGGGTTAAGAGCATCTGTTTAATTTTTAGGACACCTCTGCATCTGGCTTCAGCCAATGGCCATGCAGATGTCGTCAGATATCTGCTAAGAAAGAACAGCCAGCCCAACCTCGCTGACAGCTTCAAGAGAACGGCCCTGATGAAGGTGTGTGCAATGCCTTCTGAGCTTGGAGGTGGGGCTTAGTGCTGGGGTGTTAAAGGGGAGGTGTCTGGCAGGATTCCTTGCAGGGCAGGGCCATAGAAACACGCCTATTGCAATGGGCAGGGCACAGCCTCTGTTAGCTGATCTTTGCAGATGGTCTTCTATGGCAGCACTCAGGAGCTGAGGGAGTTGTGAGAGAGGGGGATGGAAAAGTTGGAAGCCTTTCCCTTTTGGTGTGTTGTTGCCAGGCAGTGCAGCAGGAGCAGGAAGAATGTGTTGCTGTTCTGCTGGAACACGGTGCCGACCCCAATCTGGCAGACGCTGACGGCAACACTGCCCTTCACCTGGCTGTGCTCTCTAAAAACACAGCTGTAGCAGGGCTGTTACTGGAGCATCATGCCAACAGTGATGCTCAGAACCAGGTAACCTTGGCACGTGGCTAAAGCTGCTCTTTCCAAGAGCTGCAGAGCTTGTCTGTGTCTTTCTAATGGGGATTCTTTCTCCTTTTAGTGGGGATTTACCCCCTTGAAACTTGCAGCCTTGCAACAGCACGAGGAGATTCTGGAGTGCCTTGTGAACAAAGCAGCTGACAGGCCTGCTCAAGCCCAGGGGGAAAGGTGAGGGCTTTGTCAAAACAGCCCCCGGGTGTTCTGGGTAGTCTGCAAGTGTGACCCAGACGAGGGGCGTGGCAATGAGCTGGGCAAAAGAAGGAGCAGCCCCGTGGAAGCAGTTCCCTGTGGGACTGGTAAATGCAGGTCTGCCCTTGGCTGCTCTCGTACCTCAGGGGCTCTCGTCCTTTGCCCGCTGAGGTCTGCAAGAAAGCCTTGTCTGTGGTGCCCTCTCCCCACCCAGAGCCAGAGCCCCGGGGAAACTTGCCAGTAGCTCAGCAGCGTGGCTGCTCTGCAGGCCAGGGGGGTTTAAGGCACGGCAGAGTTGGGGCGTTCAGTGCTCTGAAGGGAAGCGTTGGGGGAAAGAGAAGCAACACTGTCCCAGGGGACACGAGGGGCTCCGAGCACAGAAGGAGAAAACTTCCTGCCATGGAGATGGTCAGGGGGTCGAAGGGCTTGCCCTGGGAGTTTGTGCAGCCACATCTGGGGGGACTTTGAAGAGCAGTGCAAGGAGCCCTGAACAGCAAGGCCTGAGCTGGTAGCTGAGGCTGCTTTAGGGAGGCCCCTTGTAAGAGAAATTCTCCAGTGCTTCCATGGACTTGGCTTTGCTTTCCCGGAGCTTGTAGGAAAGGGCTGTTTTGGGAGCAAGCAGGGGAAAACTGATGCAGGATCAGACATGTTTCTGATGAAATTTTGCATGCTTTAGGAGTGCTCTTGTGGTTCCTGGAAGCCATGGGGCTCACCTGGAGGAAGATAATCTGCGCTTGCAGGAGGAGCTGGACAGGGCTGGCGCGGAGGTATGGAAAGCCTGTCCCCACAGGGAGAAACCTGGGGGTGCCTGTTGCTTCCTATCCATCCTGAAAAGGGACAAAACAGTGTTCACTGTGTTCATTGGGGAGTAGAAGTGAAGCTTTGAAGGGACTTGAATGGATTGCAGTTCTTTGGGCAGAGGGGATGCACACAGACATGCAGCACCTGAGTTCTTCAGCAGCAGCTGGCTCCTCTCTGGAGAAGCTCCCCTGACAACTGTGGATTCTTCCCGTGGTTTTACAGCTGCAGGAGGAGGAAGAAAAGCATCTTCAGTCTGAGCATTGTGTTCCTGACTTGAAGACTGCCTTGGATGCCAAGAAAAGAGAGGCAATAACTTCCTCCCAGAAACTGCAGGACCTCCTGGAAGAGGACGCGCAAGAGTAAGAGAGTAACCCAGTGAAGTGAGGGGTCTGTGGCTTTGGGGGATTGGGTGGAAACAGGGGGAGAGTCAGTGGGATTTTGAAGGACACTTCTGCTGTGGCTTCTGTTCCTTAGCACAGTTTGTCTGGCATTGGATTTTCTGGTCATAAGAGCTGTATTTCTTCTTAAGCTTTGCAAGTGAGAACAGCAGATTGGAAGGCACTGTCCAGCAGCCAAGCGAGAGCGTTGAAGCCCTTCCGAGAGCCCTGCAAGCCTCTGCCTCAGTAAGCTGGTGCTAAATTTGCCTTTTTGTGACTCTTGAGCCTAGTTGCCTATTTCTGTGGGGCAACTGTCAGATGAAGTTTTCCTGCAGAGCCTGGGGAGCTCAGTTTCTGCCTTCTCCTCAGCAGAGGCTGCTCAGAAAGCAGCCTGGTCCTTTCCCCAGCTGCTACAAAAGCCCTGAGGGTATTTGGTGTGCTGGACACTGGAGGAATTCTTAGATTCTAAATGAGGAGTTTCATCCTGAGCTCCAAGGGACCCAGAAGTATTGTTGCCAGAAGTGTCTCCCAAATTCTTAAGTAGGTGTAAAGTTTCTTCTTTCTGTTGGGGAATCTTTCAAGTGTTTCCTAGGCTCGTTTCCAGTAGATGATAAATACAGTTGCCATGGCCACCCCCTTGAGAGGTTTTCCCAGAATTCACTGCCTTTAGATCACGCTGAGTTTCCTTTTCTTTTATTTCTCTGTGCACAGGGTGGTGAACTTTCCCAGCAGCTGGACATGGAGCCTGGAACAGGCATGCAGCTCGAGGCCCCAAACCAGGCTTTGCAAGAAGAGCTGTCCACTCTGCTTGGGAAGTGTGAACAACTGGAGAAGAGCAAATGTCAGCTGCAAGAAGAGGTGACAAAACACCACCATCATTTGGAGACTTTGGTGCTGGATGGCAGCCAAAGAGAACAGTGTACAGGAGAGGTGGCAGAAGGAGCTGACCAGGAAAGAAGTGCAAAGCTACAAGAGGTCAGCCTCGTTTTGCAAGTAAGTGAATTTCTCCCCAGTGTCCACAGGCTCTTCATTAGGAGCTTTGAAGCAGAGTGCTCATTTGGGCTTCTTTCCCACTGCAAAGAATTGTTTGCCCTGGTAGCTCCTGGGTTCTGCCTTGATTGCTGCTGGGAGTGAGGAGGCAGAGCCGCCTCTCTGAGTAAGGCTGGGCCCTTGAAAGTGGGTGTGTGCAATTTTGTGCTGGGCAGAGCTCTCTTTTTCTTGTGGTGGTTGAAGGTGCACTGTCTCCTTCAGGCACAGGCAGCCCACCAGGAGACCTTAGAAGAAATCAGAACCAGTCATGTGGACTCACTGAAAAAACAGTTAGAAGACAGAATTAGAGATCTGGAACGTGCACTGGGAAGGACAAAAAGCAACCAAGCAGAAAGACCTTTTCAAAAGGAATCCACCCAGGCAGAAGTGGACATGTACAAAGAGCTGTATCTGGTGGAAGCCCAAAGAAGAAAAAGCCTCACCAAGAAACTGGAAAGGTAAGTCCCTGCTTTTTTGGACTGGTAAGAACAGACTCCTTTTTCCTCCTGCATTTTCCTTGGCAATCCCTTTTCTACATCTGGCCAGCATCAGGTGTGAAAGCAGAACGGGGCATCTTTGTGGGGAAAGTTCCTTCAGAGCCTTCCCTTCCTCAGACCTGTCTTCCTTTCTCTTTAGAGTTCCAGCAGTAACCCCACAGCAGCACCACTCTGGCATTATTGGTGTCTTTTCAAGTTGAGGTTGTTTTAGCAGGCAGTCTTTTTGCCAGTCTCAACTCTCCTCATCTTGTGGGTGACAGAAAAGCTGAATCTTGTGCCCTTTCCTGTTTGAATAAGGAGAGGCCTCTGGGAGAAGAGAGTTGGATTCTGTGAATCCAAAATAAGGCGGCTCTTTCTTGGCTTCTGTTTTGGCAGCGGGTCTGAGGGTTGAGCTTTCCTTGAGAAGGCCAGGGTAGCCCAGAGTTCTTCTGGAGGTGCCACTGGCTGCTCCTTGCACTTGGTGTGATTTCTTAGAAACAGGCCCTGTGAACAAGCTCAGATCAAAGGATGTGCTGGTTTTGGACGCTCTTCATGCCCTTGGCTTTTAGAAGTCGAGTAGTAGCCAAGGCTGTGGAGGGTAACTTTGCGAAAGCCTTCCTGCCAAAGATGACTCTGTGTGTGCTTGTGAATGTTTCAGAGCTACTGAGAGACTTGCAGAGGCCAACACCAAGCTCTTTTTGGAGCGCCACAGAAGCAGATCTGTGGTCACAAGCAGCGCTGTCAGCGGAGTTCTGGCTGCAAGTCCACTTCTGGATTCACCTGGCCTGGGACATGTTGGCATCAGTTTGGGACTGAGCAGAAGTCTGGCTCTCAGAACACCACCCAGACACCTGTGGTAAAGCCCAAGACTTCTGCTCATCAGGTTGGTATAGATTTTCCAGAGTGGTCAAAGGCCCAAAAAGGTTGAAATGGAAGCAATGAGCTGTGGAACTCCATTCTTTTCCAAGAGAAACTGTGGGCAAGAGCTCTGTGGCACAGGAACCTCCCACCTAAGTTCTACCCTAAATTTACATGTAGTAATCTTCTGTAGTCTGTGGGGTTTGGCAGGAAGCCAACTCCAACTGGCTACAGATGGTTTTGGTGTCAGAAGTGGGATTGTTTTGGTTCCTTTGGTTTTGTTGTGGGAACGTTGTCTGGGAAAGCTGCCAAGAGCAGGTTTGTTTGTAAACATCCCCCATTGTTTTGGGACACTCCTGGGAGAGCTGCCAAGAAGGATTTTGTTTATCTAAACATAGCTTTGTTTAGGAAGAAGGAGAAAGAAAAATAATAACAATGGTCTGTTTACTAATTTTTTTCCTGATTCTTGCTGGTTTTGTGCCTGTCCTAGGACATCCTGTGAGGGACCGTTCAGATGGATGGAACAAATTGCTTCCTTTCCTTAATTTCGACATCCACGGCCTAGTAGCCAGTTTCCTTAATGGTGGCCTTCAAGGTTTGGTAGCAAAGACTCCAAGATCAGCTCTAACCCATCCCTGCATTGCTCAGCGACAATGATCCTAGTGGTGAAGGCAGCGAAACTGCTACTTAAAATTGGAGAGGTGGTGCTGCATTGGTCCCCTTGTTGTACGAAAGGAATCGCTGGAGCTTTGGGGACAAGAAGTGCCAACGGCCACGACAACTGTACACAGGCAACAGTATCGGAGGAACCGAGATGCTGTGACCCCCATCCATCCATCCAGTACATCCATGACATCATTGTGGGGGGGACACAGCAGAAGAAGTTTTCGAGAAAGGACAGAAGATCATCCAGATTCTCCTCGAGGCCGGTTTTGCCATCAAGAAGAGTAAGGTCAAGGGCCCTGCCCAAGAGATCCAGTTCCTAGGGCTGAAATGGCAAATGGACGACACCAGATACCAACAGACGTCCTCAACAAGATTGTAGCAATGGCTCCACCCACAAACAAGAAAGAAACCCAAGCTTTTCTGGGAGCCATTGGCTTCTGGAGGATGCACATCCCAGAGTACAGCCAGATGGTGAGCCCTCTTAACTTTGTGACCCGTAAAAAGAACAATTTCCAGTGGGGTCCTGAACAACAACAAGCTTTCAGGCAGATCAAGCAAGAGATTGCACATGCCGTGGCTCTTGGAGCAGTCAGGACAGGACCAGAGGTAAAGAATGTGCTCTACTCTGCAGCTGGAGATAAAGGTCCCTCCTGGAGCCTCTGGCCAAAGGTGCCTGGTGAGACGTGAGGGCGACCACTGGGTTTCTGGAGCCGAAGCTACAGAGGTTCTGAGGCCAATTCCACCCCTGTGGAGAAGGAAATCTTAGCAGCCTATGAAGGCATACGAGCAGCTGCAGAGGTAATTGGTCCCAAAGCACAGCTCTTCCTGGCCCCCCAGATGGGACCCCAGCATGCAAAGTGTAACTGGATAAGGGAAAAAGGGGGTAGGGTTTATCCATTTTAGGGAAAGGGTGGCCAAAAAGAAAATACTGCAATGCAGCAAACTTTGGCCAATGGGGGAGCGGGGTCTAAGGATACAGACATCAAGGGGATTTTTCATCAAACAATTTCAGGGTACAGCAAGGGAAAAACTACAAGAAATGTTAAGACACAACCGTAAAACTCGAAAGGCTTTGGGTCTGAACTTCTTGACAACTTCATCCAGGGCTTTCATCCTCTGGAGGGTCACACATTTCTTGTTGTCTTCTCCAGCTTTCAGATTCAGCAATGTCCTCACTCCCGACAGACCAGGGTCCCCTTTCCAGAGTAATGGAGGAGCACCGTGATTTTTTAATCCAAAATTCCCAGATTGGAATGAAGTGCTCTGGAAAGGCTCTGGAAATCATTGGGTGTTCACAGTGAGTCTCTGGTTTCCCATCCCCTGCTTCAGATGTGAAAACATGTTCCTTGCAGTCGGAATGTAAACTCATCAGCTCCATTAAACTTGAGCACTATATCCCATCATCCAGATCATCAAGGAAGATGTTCACCAGGAATTGCTAATCACTGGCCTCCAGCTGGATGTTGCACTCCTGATCACCAGCCCGGCCAGCAGATTTCAACCAGCCTGCTGTCTGCTCATCCAGCCCATACTTCATGGGCTTCTCTGTGAGGGAGCCCTGTCTGTGTCCACTAGTACACACATTCATTTGGATTTTAAACAATCAAACAGAAGTGATTGTTTTAACAGCAGAATTATTTTTCAAAGGGAAATAGAAGGGTAAGAGTTTTTAATTTTAATGATCATGTTTTACATGATGCTAATTGACCTCTAGTAGAAATGAGAGAGCACCTTAAGAGACAAATCTACATTCTCTATTTATGCCCCTGAATTACAGGTATGGCTTTGATGGAACGAGTGCCTTCAAGCTCCATTGGCAGGCACTGTTTGAAAACTATTTGGGTGATTTTTGATAAGAAATGAAAGATGCAACAGCAGGAAGCCATTCAGCAATCCCTGACAAGGGAGGTCCACTGTCAATTGCTGGGAGGGCCCCCACCTGTTTCTTTTAATGGTGCTCCCAAATCCCACCTCTTGGGCCTCCCATCCCATCCTTTTTGGTCCCTCAGGCATCTCCTCCCCAGGATCTGCTCTGTGTCCTACCCAGGGTCCCCAAATATCCTCCCATTAATCATTCCCAAAGCTTTTCTTTCCATCCTTCCCCTCAGACCTTTGCCTTTCACCCAGGCCACTGCCCTGGTACCTCCCAAGACCATTCCTTGACTCCCTCTCCACTCCCAACCATCTCCCAGTGCCCTCGTTTTTGTCCTCCTCCATCCTCCTCCTCCTGTCCCCACCAAGCCTCTCCCTTGCAGTGCCCATGTCCCTACACCTGAATTCCTTTCCCCTCCCCTGCATCCCACACAGGGCCCCTTCAACACCCCAATCCCAGTCCCGTGGGCTCCCCAGTTCCCCCCAGTTCAGCATCTTTGGGTCCCCCCCAACCTCCTCCCCCCCTCCCTGCAGGCCCTGAATTCCCCTGGCTCTCCTTGTCTCCATCCCCACCCTGGGCCCTGCAGGCACAGGGGTTGGAGGTGAAACTGGGGGCAGTGGGAGCAGGGGGAGCAGAAGGGATTTTCGCCCTCAGACGGGGGCAGCCCTGGGCTGGGGGGCTGGGGACACCCGTGTCCCTCCCCCAGCCCCACAGGGGCCAATCCTGCTTAAACCTTTGCTCTCCTTGCCCAGGCACTCTTGGCAGGAACCCAAAATGATCTGCGGGAGGTGAGTGGGCCGGGGGGACTGGAGGGCATCCAGTCTGGGAACTGGGGGACACTTTGGTCCCCCCATCCCTCACCTGGCACCGGGGACATCCCAGTGACCAGCCAGGGCTCCTGGGCTCTCTCCAGCTGCATTTAGTGGACGTTGGGATCCTGAAGATGGCTCAGGTGGGTACCAGGAGTTCTGCCTGAGTCGGGTCCTCCCCTCACATGGCCATGACACTCCCAATCCATCCCAGTCTGCCCCAGTATACCCCAGTGCACCTTCGTCAAGGATCCCATTTCTTCCCCCAGGCTCCCAATACATCCCACTGCACCCAGTGTGTCTCTGAGCCTGTCTTTGTCCCCAGCCCCCTGTGGTTGAGAAGGTGGTGGGTCCTGTTGGTGAGAAAGGCGTGGCTGCATCCCTGGATGGCTGAGGTGAGCAGTGCCTGCAGGGAGAGGGGTCAGGACAAGGCCCCTCTCATGTTGCAGTGGACTTTGGGGGTGACATTTGGGGCTCTGTCTTTCAGGACTGGTGGTGACACCCGTGCCCTGTCCCCCTCCAGTGGCATGAGGAGATGATCATCCCCGGAAGAACCCCCTGATTTCCCTCAGAGCCCAGGGGCATTTCCCCAGAATGATCAATAAATCCCTTCAGCAAAGCTACTCTGCTTGATCTTGTGTGTGTGTTCCCAACTCCATGTGTGTGTTCCCATCTCCATGGGTGTGTTCCCAACTCCATGTGTGTGTTCCCATCTCCATGTGTGTTCCCATCTCCATGTGTGTGTTCCCAACTCCATGTGTGTGTTCCCATCTCTCTGTGTGTGTTCCCAACTCCATATGTGTGTTCCCATCTCCATGGGTGTGTTCCCATCTCCATGGGTGTGTTCCCATCTCCATGGGTGTGTTCCCATCTCTCTGTGTGTGTTCCCAACTCCATGGGTGTGTTCCCATCTCCATGGGTGTGTTTCCATCTCCATGGGTGTGTTCCCATCTCCATGCCTGCATTCCCATGTCCCTGTCCCCTCCTTCTCCAGCCCCTGCACACCCAGTGCCTCTCTGGCCGCTCCCCTGCCATGAGCAGAGAGGCTCAGGGGGCTCCTGGGGGTCTCTGCACACGAGATCCCCTTCACCCCCTCCATGTGCATCCTGAGCAGTGCAGGTTGGGGCATCGTGGAATGTCCCTGCTGGGGGCTGGGACAGGCAAGGGGCACACGGGGCAGCCCCTGGAGCACCTGGACCTCCCCTGGGCTCTGGGAGGGATGGGAAAGGGGATCAAAGAGCCAGCGGGTGTCAAATGCCCCCAGATCTCAAGGGCCAGGCTCGGGGCTGAAGGGATGGAGAGCAGCCCTGCATCCAAGGCCATGGGGATAGTGGAGGATGAAAAGCAGGATGGGAGCCAGCAATGGGAGCTCACAGCCCACAAGCCCCCTGTGTCCTGGGCTCATCCCACAGCGTGGGCAGCAGGGGAGGGGGGTTCTGCCCCTCTGCTCCGCTCAGCTGAGACCCCTCCTGCAGTGCTGCCTCCAGCTCTGGGGCTGCCTCAGGGTGTGGTTTTCTGTTGAGGAGGAAAAGGCAGGACTGAGTCAGGTCAGACTCTATTGGCAAAATGTGTCTCTCTTTTTAGGAAGACGTCTCTGCATCCCCCTCCCCTGAGCTCTGGGTTTTGCTGGCTGATGGGGGCTTTGAGAGCAGGGACCCTGTGACAGGCTCCCGAGGAATCCTCCTTGCTGTGAGAGGCAGCTCAGGACACGGGGTGATCCGAGATTAAATGTGCCTGTGACACATCAAAGCGTTTCCAGCCCTGCTGTTCACAGTTTGCCCAACTGCAGAGCAGAGCTGAGGGGATTTGCTGTAGTTTTGTTACAGTTTCACTTGGCACATTTAGAAGTAAATTTGGATGGTTGAAATCCCTGACATTTCTGATGTTCTCCAAGTGAAATCTCGTGGGTCCTGGGAGGCAAAGGGATGGTCTCAGTGCAGAGAGAAGAACTACGCTGGCCATCACTCCTGTTCTCAGCCGCCCCTCGCTGGCAGCTTGGAGCTGAGGGAGGATCACACTAAGGAGCTCCCTTAAAAAGAGACAGGGCCTTTCTGGGAGCAGAGGAATCTGGGCTCAAAGGGCAGATTGACAGTCTCCTTGTCTTTTCTCAGGGTGCCTGATTAGGATCTCCTCTTTCTTCTCCCAGACTGCTGCACAGAGGGATCATTGCAGCTGCCCAGAGCATTTCTATGGCTCTACCACCGAGGTGTCCTCTCCATGGGGATCCCAGACAGCACAGAGATACTATGGCAGAGCTGTGCCCTTCTGGAGGACACCCTGCAGGACACCCGGGGAAGCAGCTGAATGTCCTGAAGTTGCCTGGAGGGCACTTGGGCATTTTGCTCCCACAGACACATCCCCACAGCAGCACCCAAAGGGTTTGTGTCTGGACAGGAACCTGCCACCCCAAAGCCCCTGCACTGCCTGAGAAAAGCCAATGGTGAGAAGAAGAACAGCTCAGACAACAGGGGATGGCAGGGAAATGCCACAATGCTGCTGCCAAGGGAGGAGGGACACACAGAGAGAGATGGAAATGGGGGCCTTGTCCTTGCCTGGGCTCTGCTGCTGCAGGGCAATGCACAGCCCAGGGGCCATGGCCTGAGGGCACAGGCTCTGCTTAGGCTGGGAAAGGAGCCCAGGGAGGAGCTGCTCAGGGAAGGGGTCTGTGCCACAGGGACAGCAGGGAGGGGCCCACATCCCCCTGCCCAGCACTTGTGGCAGCAGCTCCCTGTCCCTGCCTGCCTGTCTCTGGGTGAGGAGCTGTTCCTGCCAGCAGCCCCTCCCTGTGCCCAGCTCAGCTCCCTGCCAGTGCTGCCAGAGCCATCCCCAGCCCAGTGCCAGGGGCAGCTCTGCCTGGGCAGGGGCTGCAGAGCAGATCCCAGAGCCCCTGCGGTGGCTGGGAAGGGGGAGGTGTTCTGGGGGGATGTGCTTCCTGAGAAGGGCCCCTGGAAACGGTAGGAGGTGTGAGGAGCCCTGTGAGGAGCCCTGAGCCTGCAGCTGAAGGGCTCTGCCCAGCCCTGCCCTGCCCTGCCCAGCCCTGCCCGGCCCTGAGGGGTCACTCCTTCCACCCACCCCTTCTCCCCCAGCCCCGTGGCAGCTCCTTGGCCGGGCTGAGAGCTGACCCTGGCAGGCAGCAGAGTCCCTACCCCAGCACACAGAGCCCTGGGGGCAGGACCCTGCTCTGCCCCACAGCCCTGGGCACCCCTGGCTGCACCCCCACCTTCCCACCCCACAGCCAGCCCTGGCACAGGGAACCTTCTTGCCCTGGGCCTCTGAGGGGGCAGCAGCAAGTCCTGCTCTGCAGCAGCTTCTCCTGCTGCACCCCAGCAAATCCAGCAGAGCCATCCTGGCAGCTCCTGCCACTGCTGGCATTTGGCAGCTGGGAGAGGCACTTGCAGGAACTCCCCTGCACTGCTCTGCAGCCACAGCCTGACCGTGGCAAAGGACTGGGAAGGTTCCTCCCCCGAGCAGCTCTGCCCTGTCCTCCCAGCCCAGGATCCCTTGAACCTCCTGCTCCCTTCTCCTGTCTGCCCTTGCTGCCTGCAGCTCCTGCCCTGCTCTGCCATATGGCCACTTCCCCTGCACTGCAGCAACTGGGAGAGTCCTGCTGAAAGATCCTAGAAGCTGTGGGATGTGGCAGCTTTAGGAGATGCCTTCAGGAAGGGAAGTTGAACTTTCCTGCAGCCAGAGAAATAATCATTCAAATCCCGTGAAGGTTTCTCCCACAGTGAGAGCTCAGTCCCCTCCCAGCCCAGGCTGCCTCTCATCTCTCTGCCTTCTCTCCTGTGCCCTGGGTGCTGCAGGCAGTGCCCTCAGCCCTGCTGGGCTGGGCAGAGGAGCTGCTCCTGGGCAGAGCTTGCCAGGAGCTCCCTGTGTGCCAGGAGCCCGGCCCAGCTCAGCAGCACAGCAACAGCCCCAGGCAGCACTTCTGCCCTTCAGGGATCCCTCCAAGTGTCCCTGGGGCTCCAGGGGACCCTGCTGGCACACAGCTGAAGGAAATAATGATGTTCCTTCTCTCAGCTGGGCACAGACACTTCTTTCAGCAGGGTCATTTCTCCAAACAGACACTGAGTTAAGTTCAAGAGGCCCCTTTTCATGTCCCATCATTAGACAGGAAACCCAGACAGTGCCCAGGAGGGATCTCCTTCACCCCCACTGAGGGAAGGGACTCAGCTGAGTCAACAGAGGTGTCTCCTTGTGGCTCTGCAGACCTGGGGCCAGAAGGACACTCAGCTCCCTCCACAGCCCCCATGGGGTGGGATTCCTCCTGCCCCAGTTCAGGGGGCCCAAAACAGGCACCTGCAGGTGACTCCTGTTGGGGCAGATGACACTGCAGAGATAAGAAATTATCTTAGCCAGAAACCATGGAATTTAAAGACAGACAAGGAAAGCTTCTTTACATATACCACCTGATATTTTTATACTATCTTTTAATTAAGCAGACTTGCTGTCTCCATGAAAATCCTTTTACCACCTTGTTTGCCCCATCTCCTGTTGTAATTGTGATAAAGAAATATCTGTTTATCTGTTTGAAGAAAATTATCTCCCTACGCTTCCTGGACCCTCAACCTCAAATGTGAATACAATGTATGTCCCCCCTTCCCTGAACCCTATATATAGCTAGAGTTGTGTCAAATTCAGCTTTGTACCCACAAAGTGGATCGTGCAATTATTTAAACCGCCTTAGACTCCTTGTCCCACCTCCCGTGGGAATGAATGAAGACCAAAGCCAGGAGTGACCTGCTGGGACACAAAGCCCTGGTCACTTCTG